ATGATCTAAATGACTTTAAGTCATAAAAGTCAGTTATTTCCCCCTTGGGTTAGACCCTGTTAATTACAGGCCTTCAGGGTAGGTCCTAAAAACTCGGCCAGAAACTGTCTTGGTGTCCGTGGCACACGACCAGGCTTCCCAAGACTCATTGACATATCTATCGAGTGGGGGATATGAATGATTTGAGTCTGTTTCATGCGTGCGCGAGCATTACGCTCGCCGCGGCTCCACCAGGATGGTTCCTGGTCGTGCGCGAATAGAATAGACATTTCTTTCATCAATTCAACGTAATTTATTTGAGCGAAAGGAAAGAAAAACAATCCACCGTAATGAGTCTATTCGATAGAGAAACGTTGAACACGATGATTAAAATGATCGGCAACGTAGAGATTGCCCTGACGATCGAAGGACAAATCCGTGAGACCGTTGAATTGATTTGCTCCTGCTCCTTCACCATTTCCACCCACAACGACAGTGCTCTGTTTCGCTCCTTTAGGCCAACGCATCACTCGATCATTCCATGAGTCTGCCACATAGATAGTACCCAACGTATCGACGAACAGACCTTGAGGATGCGACAATTGTGTCAGACCATTCCCAAAGCCTTGACCCCCAGCGACAACAATTCCTTCTTTTGCACTTTTATTCCATTTCATTATACGATGATTGTTACGGTCTGACACGTAGACGGTCTGTTGTTGATCGACAAAGATGTAGGTCGGATAGTTGAGTTGATTGAGACCATCACCTTCGCCATTGCCACCAGCCACAATAGTTCCATTCTTGTCTCCTATTTGATATCGTCTTACTTCATGTTTTTCGGTGTCGGAGATGTAGAGATATCTCTGATCATCCATAGCCAATCCTCGACAATTGATGTTGTCGATGAGGATTTCTCCTTGAGTTGTACCACTACGACGAAACAGTCGTACTACTCGTCGATTCCCTAGATCACAGATAGTGAGACTATCCGTCTCTTTGTCAATCAACACATTTGTTGGACCATTCAATTGAATCAATCGTTTTCCTTCGCCATGGCCACCAGCTATCACTTGTCCATTCGTATCATCCCTCTTCCACTGGATGATACGATCATTGTAGCAGTCAGCGATGATCATCGTTTGATCATCATTATCAACGAAGAGACCATAAGGGCGGTTGAGTTGATTGGTGGCACTGCCTTCTCCATGGCTTCCAGCAACAGTCACCCCATTCTGTGTCCATCGGGCATCGACTGGAATATTGGGAATTACTACAATGAACGAAAAAGAAAAGGTATCATCATTGTCGAAGAGATCTCCCTCTCACGTGGGGGAGAGAGCTATGAAGGAGATATTCGTGTTCTTCGAAGTGAATTCGGTAAGACTTTCGAGAATGCTCTTTTCTCAGATAAATATTCAGAAGAATTTTCCTAGTGTCCTATAAAGAAAAAAAAAAGATTTAGTAACGATTCTTACATCTACGTCATCTTTAGTTTTTGCCAAGATGTTTTTGACCCGAAAAACTACACCTGAAGATTTCTGTAAGGAGATTTTTCGAAAAAGAGCAATGCTAATTCCATATAAGCTTTTGATAGAAAAATATAAGGATCTGAGGATTTTATTCGAAATTGCGAGAATTCAGAATTTTTTTGTAGGATGATCATTTATATGAACATCAGACAAGAATTTAAGCAATAAAATAATGAACTATGTGAAACTCCTAAAGTGGAAAAATCCAGAGAAGATTCTATCTGCATCTTGTGAGATCCAAGCAGACAAGAATTTGGAAAAACGCGTTTAAACCCTACAATCGGGAACCACGATTGTGACCCATTCACGCTCAAAAACAAAACGCCGTTTTTCGCGTTTTTTGCGTTTAATTTTCACTTTCAGAGCGTGAAAACGGTGAAAAATTTTAAAAATGAGCGTTAAAACGCATTGTTTTTAAATTTGAGAAAATTTGAGAAATAAAGGCACGTTTTAACACTAAAAACTGGAGTTTTTCGCCGTTTCCACGCTCTAAAAGTGAAAATTAAACGCAAAAAAACGCAAAAAACGCGAAAAACGGCGTTCTGCTTTTGAGCGTGAATGGGTCGCAATCGCGGTTTCCGATTGTAGGGTTTAAACGCGTTTTTCCAAATTCTTGCCTGCTTGGGGAAGAGGGTGTGGGTGTTGGTGGATGTGGATGTGGACATGAGTGTGGGTGAAGAGAGCACCCACACCCTTCACTGGGACTGATCTATCTTCTGCTCGTGTTTATCTAGTCGTAACTGGTGTAGGTACTGTGGTTCTCTTTTTTTATATATAGTTTCTCCTTTTCCTATTTTTTCTTTTCTTTCTTTTACGTTCACTTCTTGTTGTGTTTCTTCTCGCTTTCTTTTATTTTTGTGAAACACAATCTGAAAGGAGTGTTGAAGTGTTTAGGGTAGAAATTTTGGACCCACTCCTCCCCACCTCTCCCCCCCACAGACCGTGACAGACATTTTAATTAATTAATTAATTACTATGTAATTAACTAATTACCCATCGCAGACCGTGACAGACACCGTAATTAATTAATTAATTAATTAAGTACTATGTAATTAACTAATTATCCATCACAGATCATGATAGACAGGGCTCTGAACCCATCACAGACCGTGACAGACAAGATTCGAACCTATCACAGACCGTGACAGACATCGTAATTAATTAATTAATTACTATCTAACGTCTGGTGCGAAAGTTTCTGGACAAAATGTTTGTTCATTTTTCGATCGATTACGGAAGCCAGCAAAAATTTTAAAAAATTGAGTTAGAACCAGAATTTTCTGCTCTTTCCAAAACTATGTTCGAAATTTTTGTAGCACTCATAGCTTAGAAATTAAGAGTGAATCTTTGAAAGGCCTGAAATTAAAGTTTGGACGGAAGCGGTTGAAGTAACGAATCCAAAGACGGAAACTATGGTCGTACCAGGTTTGAAATTGATTGCATGGTGTTCTTTAGGGATTTTTGTTGACACTTTCTTGTTTTCATCGTAAAGCCGCCCAATTTATCTTAGTCCCACTTCTCTTTGCCTGACTCCATCACATTTTGGATTTTTTTTAGAGCAGCATCTGAGTAGTATATATTCTTTGCAGCAATAATGCCCTTATTAAGTAACTTCTATTACGGTTTGTTTTTCATAGTATAAAGAGCGAGATGGTTCTCTACAAAATGAGCTAAGAACCGAGAGTCTCGTAGCAAACCTTCAGAAATGATCGAGCTCATACTGCAATTCTGGAAGCCAAGGAGTTTCGAAAATATCACGGCGTCTTTTACTAAAACTCTCATTATTGACCGAAGCCTCACAGTTAATTAATGATTAGGATATCATTTTGTAGCGAACTGTTTGCTCTTTCTTTTGGTGCATTCAAAATAAATTCTACTCCTATCTTGGATTGTTTTGTTTTAAACTGAAACCCGCCCAAACTTTACTTTCTGACCATTCAAAGATGCGCTTACAATTCCTAAGCTATGAGTTCTAAAACAATTTCGAGCACAGATTCTGAAAGAGCAAAAAATTCTGATTCGAACCCAGTGTTTTAAAATTTTTACTGGCTCTCGTAAGCGGTCGAAAAATGAACGAACATTTTGTCCAGAAACTTTCGCACCAGACGTTAGTTAGCTAATTACCCATCACAGACCGTGACAGACGGGTTTTGGACCCGTCACAGGCCGTGACAGACAGGGCTCTGGACTCATCACAGATCGTGACAGACAGGGCTCAGGGATCATTATAGATTGTGATAGAAGACTTCACGGAAATATTAGAGGTGATGCATTACTCACATATGATTGAAGCATATATGAAGTATTATCCTGTTGAAAGTCTATAATGTAAGGTAAACCATTATGAAGAAATGTACATCAGTATCCATAAAAACCAATAGTTATTAGAACATCGGCTATAGCAGCTACATCGTGTTTCATATTTTTAATCCCTCGAGGGATTGCGCTAACAGCTTTTTGTTATTACCATCTCTTCGTTCTCTTCCTTTCTGCTTTCTTCCATCTGCTGTTCATCCATCCATCTATTTTTTTTATATACTCCTCTTTCTTTCTTTTTTTCCTACACACTGATGTATCAAGATGAACTTCTCTTTGTACTGTTAGGCCTATTCGGGCACAGATCCCTCAACTGCTTAATAAAAAAAAAAAGTTTCATTGCTACTAATTTTGGAATGCCCTAAGTAAGAACGATAGGCGAAGAGAATATCGCATGCTGAAGAGTATGAGGACCGATTGAAAAAGAATGTTCTCTATCAACGAATGACTGAGAGAACAACAAAAAGTGGATGCCATAAGATTCAACAGAAGGTTGGTTTTATGGAATTCCTCCATCTGAATAAACAATGATGTCAGTCTAGTGAGCAGTTAGTGTACATTTTTTCTTTTTAGACCTCATCGCTTACGACGTGTCAAAGACACCATAGAAGACCTATCGTCCACAACAAATTTATTGAGTTACATCGCTTAAAAAATTGCAAAAACATCATTTGTCAAAGGTAGTTTTCGTAAAACATTCAGAATTTCCACCACCTCTTCATTGTAGAAGTGGACGCAGCTGAGAAAAGCTTAGCATGCAATATAATGGTCAAGTGTCAAATTACAATCTTCTGTAGACTTTCTGCAATCCTTCTCATCGCATCTAATGTTGCAAGCTAACATGCCACGAATATACCAGATTTACATATCGGCAGGTGTCAGTGAACCAAAATATTCTACGAAGTTTAGGAGTTGAAGAAAGAGATGTAATGAAAAGAATTTTAAAAAATTCACGAACTGCGCAAACCATTGAAATTCAATGAAGTGAAGAAATTTAGAGATTTCAAGCATGTCAACAAAGTCTAGGAACTCATTGAAACAGAGGAAACCATGAAACTCAAGAACTCGTATGTAGACAAGAACTTGTAGAAATTCAGAGAAATAGAGAAAGCTGTGAAACTCAACGAACTATACGAATAACATGATCATGAGGAATCGAAATCTCTTATAGCACTCAAATAATCAATGAAACTGAAAGTAATATGGTAACCGAAGGAACTCAAAATGAATCAAACGATTTTGCAATGAGTTCTTTTCCTTTTCGTATTTTAAGTTTATACAGATTTGAATTGCTTATCACATAAATGTTCACAGTCACTAAAACCTGGATGAAAAAGAAATAAATAGGAAACAGATGCTGATTAATTCCAACCAACAACTAAAATCTATGTACATTTTTATATGTAACATTTGAATATAGCTTTGCTGTACCGAGATGCTCAAGAATTAATGTAATCCATTGGAATAGGCACATTGATTTCTGTTCATAGATTATTCTATTCTAGGCTCTTCGATTGCACAACGAAAAACGTAAATATAGCTAACAACACTTGTTCTGTTTATATATCTTTAAGAAAGGCTGACTATCACGTGATGCTGGTGGTAAAGCATCGCCAATCAACGAGAACAACGTAGTTTTTCCAAAAAATAATCCAAAATCCGTTTCTTAACGAAGTGACAGTTAAACAGGTGTAAACTCTAAGTGTGAGCTTGGAAATGGATGAACGGACCGACGCGGGTGTGGGTGTGGGTGTGGGTGTGGGTGTCAGCATTTTCAAATTGTGGGTGTGGGTGTGGGTGTGACAAAG